TCTTGGCTCAGCTTTACAGATTGTGCAGAGAAAATGCTTCCCAACGTTGGTTTTGTTTAACTAAAGATCTCCATTGCTTTGCAGAAATTCCAGATGAAGGTTCTTAATAGCTGGTGTTGGACATGCTGAAAAGTGCTTCAATGACTCTTTTGCCAGCATGTGCAAAAATAGCTGCTACTGAATGGGTACTACAGAGTAAAACCACTATTGTCACCTGCACCTTCCAGCGCTCCTACTTTATTGTGTAATATGTGAGAGAGTTGCTCATTTGTAAAAACATTTCCCTTAATCTGATTTAAAAAAAAAATATAATAAATCCACAACTGTTTCTTGTGGCTCTTGTCCCTCACTGCCACTAGAGACAGACAAATCTGCATCCTATGTGAGCACTATTTGGAACACATCATCCAGCTGACATCTTGCTAAATGCTATTTTATAGCCATCAGACACCAAGATACCATTACCCTGTCAACTTAATTGGACTTAAATCCTACTGGGATCAGACTAAAAGCAAGGGGGAAAAAAAAAGAAAAAAACAGCCAACAATTCAACTGCCCTCTGCAGCTCCTGCCATTTTCTAGCCCTTAATTCCTGTACTACACCTCCACCTCTGCCAGTTCCTCCAGGTTGGAGGGGTACCAACCGCCACTCAGCAGGTTTCTGACTCCTGCTGCTGCAGCACCACAACTGGTCCCCAAGAACAGCTCAGCAGCAGAAGCCACCAGCAGCCTTGTCTGTTCAGATTGCAGACTCCTGGGGGAATGTCACAGTGTAAACACATCAGAGCCTCTAAGACCACCTCTATTGCAAAAGCTTATTACAATCCCCATTTATTGAAGCCTTTGAAGACTAAATTTAGGTTGTTCCTACTATGACTCATTGACTTCTCTTAGAACTTTCTCACACGTTCTATTCTCTTGTGCATTTGATGCCTCAGACACTTCAGATGTCCTGTTTTCTGCATAATTTAATATTTGATTATAGTAAAAGAAAGCACACATTGTCTTGAAGAACAGAAAAAACATCATCTAGGGATTTCTCTAATGCCAAGAGAAAATTAATCTTTCATGGTACAGCGGAGTAAGTAGACAGTCCCAAAAGTATATAATTAAAGAGTCAATCTCTAAATGTGGTACTTCGTTTCTTAAAAGTCTTGTTTAAATTGTTTTGAGAGCGCAGCAATTGATTTAAAGCTACTATTTGGCAAAGATCTGCTTGAGGGGGAAGTTCTTCTAGCGAGGAAGAGACCCTGATGTTGTGTCTAGCATTTGTAAACACAGGTAAAAGTTACGCTGTATGGATACGGAGTCAGAAGTGTACAACAGAACAGAAGAGAGGGAAAACAATCTTCTCAGAAATCTTCCTCATTCAGGTAATGGTCCTTGCTCAGCATTAGGTAAGAATTTTCCTGCAAGTATTTTTTCAAACTGCTATCAAATGACACAAGCAGGGACCGGTCCAACCAACTTGCAGAGATGACACTGTATTTTCCAAGGTGACCGCGACATACAATACTTGAATGCAAAATCACAACATTTCAGAAATGGGAAATCCAACGTGAGGTTTTCATTTAAGAGGTTATTTGCAATTCCAGCTCCCTTGAATTGCAGTCAGGAGTTATACTCACCAAGCAGAAAACCACTGTGGTAATGTACACAACAGCAAAGAGTAAAATGGTGCCTGCTTGAAAGAATCTAACTGAATAACTGTTAATTCTAAAGTAGAAAGTGACTGAATTACCTCAGATGAAAAGTTGATAACCCAGCCTGTACAGAATATTGACTGCCTCTATCCAGCTATCAGTCAAAACTTAGAAAAAGATGTTGCAGCATAGTCTACTAAAAATACATTAGCAGACAAGTGGGTATTTCTTGTTCTTTGCTTTTTACAGTAGTTCTTGACAAATCTGCATTCAAGTGTGTGGCAGCAACTGTCCGCAAAACCACTTATTTCAAATAGGAGTATGATGTGGATTTAAAAACGGGCAAACAACTCATTTTGTCTTTGCTCTGGCTCTGTAACACAAGACCAGTGTCAGCCTCTGAACAACTTACTCCTGCTCCAACACACAATACCCACCGTGTTCAAGGTTTCCCACAGGTGAGGAACTGTCAGATGTAGCTACAGCTAGAGGACATACCTTGTACATAGAATGACTCCTTGAAGTACAGACCGACCCACTGATTCATGTAAGGTTGGGCGGCAGACTCTTGCCCGCACACCAAACACAGCTGACTCAATACATCACTGATCTGGTAGATGAGTTCCTCAAGCCCACTGAGATACAGCTACCAGCCTGTAAACACATGAGATTGAGCTGCAGCAGGAGATGGCAAAAGCCAGTCACGCACCCCCTCAACTTCAGTGAGACCCAAAACATCTGCAGAGGCTGTCCCAGTGCCTTTCAGATATTGTCTATCAGTGATGAAAAGATCACCCAATAAACAATGAATTTATTACAAGAGCAACCGGCACATCTTACTCACCCCACAAACTGCTGGCTAGAGCTTTACTCCTGGCAGGTCACTCCCAGTCCTCATAGGTCTGCTAGGAACAGATTAACTCTCCTCCTTTTGCAGAAGTCAGCCTATATCCCGATGCTGTCACTTTTACCTGAGCTCTCTCAGCAGGACTAAATAGCCTCATGCTCATCAAGCACCACAAGCTCCTCAGCTGGGCCCATCAAAATCTTCAGTGTAGCCCACCACTGCCACCAAGCCTATCGCACAGCTTTGTGCGTCTCAATAAAACTAAGACAGATGAGAAAAATCATCCAAAGAGTCATTATAACCAAAATACTTCTGTCTCTTTGATATGGCAGACCAACACATTCTTACTTGATCCATCACTTATCCTTTCAGTTAGCTTTATTGGTCACTGCTGAAGAAATCCCACAGAACTGGATGGATCAGTGAAAAAATAGTAATTGCCTCGTTATATTTACCTCAAGTTTACCTTAGTCAGAAGCACAAGCACTTTGATAAATGGGTTGACATCTTAAATATGCTGTGGTGAAAGCGGGTAAGCGCTATTCCATACTTTTCTGAAGGGTTGTGCAACTTTAAGGCTATTTCTTAGGCAGAGCTGTTCTCCAGAAGAAAAGCTCTTGGGTAGCTGAATATTTTAGACTCTAACCTCAGACATTTTCTATGATGTGAAGGTTTCTCAGGAAGAAAAGTGAATCAAAGTCAGGACTGTACATTTCTTGCTGAATCTTAATGAGCAAATTTAGAATTCAGGAACATGAAAAGGGTAGTCCCAGAAGCCCAAATGAAAGAAGCTTTGGATTTAGAGAAGATTTTGATTAGATTTTCATACAGTGATTTAAAATTACTTGCATAATGCAAAGAATATGCCAGGGTATAATGCAATATGATTGCCAGTGATGGCAGGCTAGCGAACTGAGTCACTGAATGCTCCAATGCTTTAGGGAATTTAAGGCCAAGTTGAAATAAACAATATACCTGTTTTAGATTATCATATAACTCTGAGCTACATAACACTTTGTGGAATAACTGTATAAGAATAATTTGACTTTTTCGTCCTGCAAGCTTATGGCATTGCACAGTGCGTTCTTAGGGTACAATATAGAAAAGCTGCTTAGAGCTACTGAGGAAGAGGTTTTTAAAAAAGTTTCTAAACTTGTTCACAGGCATGCAATAGCTCAAATATGGTGAAACAGCCCTTGAGCTCACTGGAGCATTTCATTTACTGCGAATCAAAGCAGCTTTCCTGGTCAGCGCAGTAAAGAATGGATAAATGAACAACATACCTGAGAATGCGTACTAGCTGCTGAAAATGAACCGCTACAGATCCCGGCAGTAATTCTTACGGACAAAGTCACTGTTAAGATTGCTAGACCAGCTTAGCCAACTGCCCAGAGGATACCAAAAGACTATAATGAATTTACATAAACTAGAAAGCCAGGTTTCTAGAATATAATTTTTTTAAGGTGTACCTATATGGGAGTAAGGTACAGAAGAACTTAGAACATGTTACATTTTCTAGTTTTACAGATATACTGCAGTATCACTATACTGTTGTTCCAGAACTTACGATGTTAATTACTTCTTTACACCTCACAATTTGATGGTAAAACAATGCATTTTTACGTTCAAACTCCAGTTATGAAAGAGAAGAAAAATATCTTGGGAGTTCTGAAAAATTACTTTTCTTAGGGAAAAGATGTTTATATTTAATTTAATCAGAGAACATTATATAGAGATTACATTACTGTGAAGGCATTCTGAAAGATGACCTCTGGATCAACAAAACAGAACACTGTTGAAATTAAAAACAAATATGTTTTTTGTTAACATCCAAATAGCCGTATTTAACTTAGCTATTGAACTGCTAAGGCCAAAAGAAACTCCTAGAGACCTTACCTTTGAAACATTAGTTGGTTGTTTTCCCCCTGTATTTAAATGAAATCATGCACAACAACCACACTTACAAAATGAGCGTAAAGACTAACTGCTAACATTTAAAAATAAAGTTTCTGGATGAGAAAAGCCCAGCTTAAACCACTGCATTGTGAAGATGAATTGAGAAAATAACCAATTTACAACAAACTATGAATGTGTAACCACACAACCAAGATAAATTGCCAATGTGTGGAACTAAAAATTAATGAGTTTCCTAGTTTAATGTACGAGTCAACACAGAGCCAGCTTCAAGTACTGAAGCAGTTCCACTGAAAGCAGTCAGACTCCTATGGGTCTCAAGTTAAACAGTTCACTAATAGACTAAATCAGGAATAAAGTAGTTTGGTGACCTGAATTCACAGCAATGCATCTTTCTTTACAATATCTAACCATGAGCCTGATATGGCTCCAAACTGTAAAGTACATTAACTGATAGCAAGCACAAACCTCGAAACAGTGGGGTTTTTTTCTTCCCATTTTATTTCTTTTTTCTGTTCCATAGTTAAGTAACAAGCTGAGCGAAGGAACACGTGAATTGCATAACAAAATCTTACTAG